TCTATTTTCAGGCTGTAAATGAAGTGAACAGATTTTCCTAAGCGCTCAATTGCCAGTAACTCCTGCATTTTGCGGGGGTGGAAAGAGAGAAACTGGTGCAGAAAGCATGTGACTGGGTCTTGAACTTGCACAGGCATTGCTTTATTCACCACTTGTTCATTTTAGTTTATTCAAACATTGGTTCATTGATTCTAATATCTAAGTATCAAGATTTCAGGAGGGCTGTAATCCCTGATATACCTCATCTGGCCCTGGGGCACCACCAGCATTTGATGCCCACCAGCATCTGATGCCTAGCCTGTCTCCTCCTCCAGCTCCTGGTACAGATTTCTCCGTTGTCTGCGCAGGCTGAGACTATTGCTTTCTGCATTCTTGTGTAGGTTGCTGTAGTGTTTCTTGAACACAGCCATGTTGTGTTAAAACTGTATTGTATGCATGCTACAAATTCAAATATATCCATCTACTATACAAAGCTGCTCCATTGCTCCCAGATTGCTTTTAATATGTATTTAGGTTTTGAACAGAAGGTAAAGCTTCTCTTCCTAGGATTTTGGAGGAAAACAAAAAGCAAAAAAGCAATCACTAAATTTCATGATGGTATTCCTTGAAAGTGTCAATCTTCTCAATTCTTCTTAGAGAAAACTATTTTTCACAAGAAAATGGTATAATGCTTGTATGCCTAACGAACTGAACAATTTGTTGCATTACTGTGGGGCGACTTCTGTTCCATTCATGCAATGAAAATACGGCTTCAGTGGGACTGCGTATGCTTAAATTTGAAGTATGAAATTACGTCTTTCTTCCAGACAGTGGCCATATCAAATAGATGCAATAGTATTATACCTTTATACTTTAATAAGGGACAATGACACAGGAAAATGTATGTGGCTGGCAGTTGACGGTTACTGCAATAACCTATTTAATGTTCCCTTGTATCCTGTCGATGTCAGGATAAACAACATGCTAATGAAATGAATTGGCAATGCAGAGCTAGAAGCTGATCTGAACAGCAAAATTGTACAAAGGGAACTATATCCATAGCAGGGGAGTGAAATTAAACTTGGAAAAACCAGCTCTTGCATATCTAAGGGCAATAGTTGCAAATGCACTAACTCGAAAGATCTGTTTTTAAAAAATAGTTTAAATAATGTGTAATAGCTGAAAATAAATTAGGAAGTTACAAGTCACAGTAGTCAAAGCTGTCATTTTAGATGTTATAAACAAAAGCATGTTAGACCTAATTGGTCTTTGGTATGATTACGTTTCTGGACACAATGGTATGAGAAAGATGTTGGAAAACTGGAGGCAGGTGAGAGTATAGCAGTATAACCAGTGCTACAAGAATGATTCATTAGCAAAAGACATAGAGGATGACATATAGATCTTCGCTAAGCCGTGACAAAGAAGAAACACTGCAAAAGTGAAAAAAGGGTAAATATCAGGGGCAGAAATTAATTAGTATGAGCTTGAGACAGACTAGGTTCCTGAACAGTTTCAAGAGCAGAGGCCCAACCTTTGTGATTTTATTGTGCACTTACTCGAAGTGGTACCAGACCTACTTTCTGTTTGGGTGGGAGATAGGAATGAAAGCCAGTTTCTCTCTGATCACTCATCTTTTTCTGGTGCAAGAGATGAGTGCTTCTCGTAGTGATCGGGAAATGCTGAAAAAGACTCTTATAAAGAGGAAAAGGGATTTCAGCCTTTTGCTGACTGGATGTTCTCACTCAGCCAGCAGGAGGGGGCACAAACTCAACACAGGCTCCCCGTGCTGGTGCCAGAAGGCAAGCAGGACTGGTGCAGCGCTTTGCTCATCTTGCTTTGCTCTGCTGAAGAGTCTGCAAGGTGCTTTGACAAGGCAAATGGCAGGAAGGAATTGCCTGCTGCAGATTGCTAAGCGGAGCGTTGACCACGGCAGAAAGATAATAGCAAAAAAAAAAAAAAATCTGAGCCCTGACCAAACATGATGTGCTAGGCACAGCAAAGAGTTGTAACTGCCTCCCTCCAAGGCATGAGGCAACAAGCATTTGAAGGGCTGTATAAGTATTTTTTTAACAGTATGCATGGATAACCTGAGGGATGAGGTTGGAGCACTTTTATATCCTGGCCGTGGCACTGGGAGAACATGAACCACATGCTTAAGCTACAGGTAGTTAGGAGAAAACCTACAACATGGCTGCTATTCATAAATAGCTTATGAATCATATGGATCTCATCTCAGTATTTCCTAGAAAATTAAGATGTCACTAACATATCATCTGAAATGTCTCTAAATTACAAGCCTGCCCATCCAAACAGCAGATAATGACTATCAAATAGCAGCTGAAAATGGGGAGCAAACAACAGTTTGCAATATTAGATTGCGGTAAGAGACTTGTCTAACCACAGCAGACTTGCCTCTCAGCCAGTGGAAGCTTCTGCTTAACTGGGCTTTTTATTTGTGCTTTGCCATACGATCCTTTTTGAATATATTAGCAAGACACTATTTCTGAGGGTTTTCTCCCTCACACGCTTTTCCCTCATTTCTGGTTAGTAAAAGTTAGAAATGCCTCTGTAGATGGAAAATCCCTAGAAATGAACACAACAGGGGATACTTCCCTCTTTGTAAATCTGATGCAGGACTGGGTCAGATGTCTTCTGAATCACAACAATTTATCCCAGCTGGCAGTCTGGCCGTGCAGCTCCATGCTAGGGATGGTCTGATTGAAAACCTTAGTTCCTTTTTGATCCACGAATCAGTATAATGTTTGAATAGTGAAGCTTTGACGCTGCCACAAATAGATACATGCTGTGCCTTTCATTTGCCTGACAACTTTATGTATGTACCTCATGTTATAAAACAAAGCCCCTCCTTGTCCTCCTGGTGGCAGTAAAAATGACAAATAAACATGGCATAGCTTGTGAGCTACAGAATCCTCCCCATGTGAGGCGCAAAAACTTTTGAAAATAATATGCACGATACAGTCTAAGATGATGTTTATACTTTTTCAATAGCTGATATTCATATACGGAGGCAGGGAAGAGAGCAGCATGCAGTAGGTAGACTGTATTGTCCGGCTAGCTTATGAATAAGGAACAACTAATGCCAAAATTCAGAGCTGTGCATCACTGAAAGTTCCCATTAAAGGATGCCGGTGAGCACAAGCCTTTAATTGTGCAATCTTGTGCAGTTAAGTCCATTTTTTTCTTTTCTTTAATACTGGCTTTGTTTAGGGATTGTGTGACACAATTTACAATTTCTCAAGGAGCCCCGATCCCGAACCTTTCCCTGCAGACAGAGATTCTTGCATGGAATACAATGCAGGCATCCAACCATCAGTTACTGCCTGGAGGCTATAAAAATCACAGCAAAACCCTAGGATCAATGAAATAAAAGATAAAACTCTCATAAACTTTGTGAGGGTTGGCAAGGAATTTCATAATGCATGCATTTGGACTAAATTCCTGTCCACCTGATATCTAATCAAAAAAATAATTGGGAGCACAGCTCGGTATTTTTGAAAAGCTTATCCACAATGAAGTGAAATTGAGGAGGAACTACATAGGTGAAAGGAGTGTCTGTCAACCTTCAACTTAATGCTTGTGCTTTATGCTACAAGACTCCATTTTGTATTTATTCGCTTACCTGGAGATAGTCTCCTCAAGGGCCAATGGATCTGCTATCAATATCTGATTGGTGAATAAACCTCCATGAATTAACTTCTGATATTCCTGCATTTTTTGCATTTTTCCGGTTTTGCTTTGTTTTCTTTCTTTTCTCTTTCTTTTTATAGGAAGAAGATATGTTAAAAATTGTGATGCTGAGGGCTATGTTTCCACGAAGTCCATGACAGAAAACTTTAAGCCAAAACTTTCATGAAACAAACTGTCAATGACGAATTCAAAGCTGTGCTGTTGTGCCTCTCTCAGAAAGGTTAAATATGCCTAAAAATAATCTTTAACCAAATTGGCAAATTAGTACCTTCACGTAATTGAATACCCTTACAGCAGTCAAACTGAGTGATGGTGCGAATACATTAAAAGCAACTGTCTTTTAAACATACGTCAGGGACAGTCTCTGTAGATAATATACTGCTAAGAGGAGGGTCTTCACTGTGGTTTCCAGAGCTTTTTAGCATTTTGGAGGTTGGTAAACCTTGTCTGCGACTGCTCCCAACCACCCACCCTCGCAGCTGTGTCTTGGGGACTTGTGACACATGTGAGAAACCACAGGGAAAGTTTTAACACAGTTGAGTTACGTGTGGGTGTTGTCGCACCTAGTTTTATGGTATTTTTGCTTTACTTGTCATCGCAGTGGAGGAGCACTCCCATTATTTTTCTTAGAATTACAGATATCCAGGCTCAGCATCTAAGGAGAAAAGTCTGAATGTCACTCAGCTGCCCCCATCCGTTTGAGGCTCCGAGACAGGGGCTGCCGGGGGCAGAACCTGAACGTTTCCCATCACAGCTTAACGTTGCCTTCGAGCCTCGGGCTTTTCCAGCCGCGCGGAGCGGGTCTGGAGGCGCCGCTCCTCCGCCTTTCGCAGTGGCAACACTGCCACCTGCTTTCCCGCTCCGACGGCCTCGTCCCCGTCCCCGTCCCGCAGGTGGAGAGGCCGTTTCCTGCGCTGCGCGGCCTCGCCCTCGGCCGCACTGCGGCCCGCTTGGCGCATCGCTTTATCCCACTTGTCGCCACCGAGCCCCCTCTCACCGTGGGGCCGCCATGTTAGGCCCGCGCGGGCGGCCCTGAGGCGCGGCGAGGCGCGGCGAGCTCGCTCCGTCCCCGCGCGGGATGGCGGCGGCGGCGGCGGCCGCGGCAGGTCCGCCCCGTCGGGGGCGTCTCCATGGCGGCGGCGGCGGCGCCGGGCCGCCTCCCCCATCCCCGCCCCCGGTTCCCTAGTCGCGCTGGGCGGCTGGACAGGAGCGGAGCCGCGCCGCGCCGTGCCGTGCCGCGCCGCGCTGCCAGTCCGCGCCGTCCCCGAGCGCCACCCGGGCGGGCAGCGCGGACGGGGGAGCCGCGGCCCCATGCGCTGAGGGCGGCGGGATGGGGCTGCGGGGCCGTGGCGGCCGTGCCGGGCCGCCGGCTCCCGGCTGGACGTGCCTGCTGCTCTGCGCCGCGCTCCGGAGCCTGCTGGCCAGTCCGGGCAGCGAGGGTGAGCGGGGCCTCGGGGGCGGCGAGGGGGCTCTCTTGGGCTTGCTTCATGCGTTTTGTAACCCGGGGTGTGAGCTCGCAGCGCCGCCGCCCCGGGACGGCCGGTGGGTCGGGGCTGGCCGCGGGCGCCCTTGCGGGCTGTGTTTGCCGTGGGGAGCGGGGTCGGCACGCCCGTTTTGCAGGACTTTTCCCGGGGTGCGGAGGGGGGACTTGAGCAGCGTCGCGCGTTGCGGGGCTGGCGCAGGTGTCTGTGCACGCGTGGGCTCGGCGCGGGTGCCCGGCACGGCTGGGCTGCAGCGGCGCCTTGGCGCGGGCAGGGCGCTCGCAGGCTCTGGGATGGAGCTCGGGGGTGCCCGGCTGGCAGCGCTCACCGGGAGAAGCCCTGAGCATCCTGGCCGCAGTGCGCCGAAAGATAAGCATATACACAGGGATACAGGGAGGAACGGCACGAACGTGCCGATGCTTAACCCGTAGCGCCGCTCCGCAGAGCGAAGCTGGTGGGTCTGATGGTTTGAAAGATTTCATCTTTTTTATTTTATTTTAATTTTTATTATTTAATTCGTGCCTGGTGCGGGCAGTCCTTGAGGCTTTTCATCATTTGTGGGTGAAGCGCAAGTTGGCAGCGCGGGGGGCCCAAGTTTTGCACAGTGCGGGGACGCTGGCCGCTCGCAGCGGGCTGCCTCTGTGCGGCATCGTGTTTATTTGTGAAACTCCGGACTGCCCAAAGCAGGGAAAAGAGGGGAGGGAAAGAGCAAGCACACCACCTTTTCAGAGATGTGGCCTGAGGTAGGCAGCTAGCCGTAAATTATTTTTCAGAGCAACAATGATGTGAATCACAATTAAAAAATGGAGCGGGGAGCGTGTTTCTCCAGCTTCTTCTGGCTCTTCTGCATGCTTGGGCTCAGCCTGCTGCTGTGTTAAGAGGCGGCTGGAGATACGCTGAGCCTGGTCCCCATTCTCCTTTGCCCACTCAAGCATTTGCCCCAAATTAGGGAGCCTTCCCCCTGTGTACAACAAGGAGCTGCAAAATAGGATGGGTACCCAAGAGGGAGCAAGCCAGGAAAGGATTAATGCAGTTGCTGAGGAGCTTGGTTTAGTGGCATCTTTAGAGAGCAGCTATAGGGGAGTATTACAGTAATGGTTAGCAGCGTGAGGGGTTTGCTTTGTGGTCTCTCTCCTTCCACTTCCCTTACTTGTGCTCTAATTTTGGTCTCTTCAATAACTGCAAAGCTAAGAGACTGCTGGTAGGAGGGGTCTAACTGCGGACCTGAACTTATTCAATAACTGTTCTCCTTGGCTGCTAAGAGATTTATTTGTAAACAAGCATTATTTGACAAGTGCTTCTCACAGCAGGTCTCCTTTGCCAATTACAACTGAATAGCTGTGCTGCGGGGAAAGGTTCACCCTGCAGTACGGGAAGCCTGAGGCATGAGAAACCTCAGACACTGTCCGTGCACCGCTGGCACTTGTCACCAATTTAGGGCTGAAAAGTTCACTTTGGCTCCTTCTGGGTTTCGAAGCATGGGAAGAGAAAGAGCCTCCCTGGGCTTAGTTGTCATATTTAGTTGATTGGGAGCTTTGCTTTTTCTTGGATGGAGGTGGCCATCTTAGGCGTGCGAATAATATTTCCTGAAAGCAGTTGGGCTTTGGTTCCCTGGGTCTTTTTGGTTTTGATAGTCCTACAGTTACTTCTATTTTCTTGTCTTTTGGGTGTGTTTCACACTTGTGCCATTAGGAAATCATGTACTGTGAGTTGTTCTTTTATGTATTTGTGTGTGTGTGTGATGGAGGGGGGTGCTTTAAATATCTAGGTTAAGGCTGGGGCAGGGTGTGGGGGCATGGTGAATAAAGACATTTCCCTATACTTATATTTGGGTTTCTTAGCACAGAAATAGGTTTTCAGATGAGCAGCAGAGTTTCAGAAATGTCTGCCCATTCTGATGGGCAGCTATTGAGTGTTCAACCTGCCACCTTTGCAGAGTCTTCAGATATAAATTTTGAGAGTATAAATAGGGAAATGGGGTTGATTTTTTCCCAGGATTTTTGGGGGGGGGGAGAAGGGCAGGGATTTTTTTATAGCATACAGTGGAGAATGAAGCCCGGTCCCATTTAGATGTTATTTTTAACTCTTTATCAAGGTTCTATTGCTAGATAGAATTGGAATCGGAGACTTCCTTTCTCTCTTTGGCTATTTCTGTGAATTCAGCACAATAAAAAGATCCCCCAAAGTACACTGGAAAGTATTGCATGTTATACTGAAATGTTGAAATGTCAATATTTCATCATGATTTATTACTTTAAAATGCCTTGCTTACAGTCCGTCCATAGGGAAGCACTTTCCTCGAATTACCGTCATTCCATAGCATGTTTGGCTGAACACAGAATGAAAATCCGTTCTGGTATTGGTAATAACTAGAAGCTTCAGACTTGGGGAGAAAAAAAAAAAGGCAGCATTCTTGACACTGCAATTTGGTGAATTAAATATTTCTGGAAGCTTTGTAATTTGGAAGTAACTGGCGGTGTTGAGGGTACGTGAACCTGAACAGATTTCCTTTGTGGGCTGTGTCTTGTTTTTCCGCCAGCCGTCACTCCTGACCTGTCACAGACCTGAGAGCCAGCCCTGGACTACACAGCTGGATTTCCGGCACCTCCGTTAGTTTAAAAGTGCACGTGTTTTAAATTAATCTGTTGTAAGCACTCAGGTTTGGGAAGTGGCTTGTGTAAATTATTTATGTAAAAGAGTCTGAATGAACGAATTGTTTAAAGACATCCTCCCCCCAACTTCAGAATGATTTGTTATCTCCTGTGGATGCGGATCTCATTTGGAAATCACCCAAATGACCTTAAAAAGTGTCAGGCTGGCAGATTTTTAAAAGATTGCAATGCCTTATACTTTCTGACTGCTTGTAATAAAGTAACTCAACAACAAGCTTGCATAATTATCATTAAATATGAAGTATATTTCAGTTCAGGGCGTTTCAGCAGAAATAAGTGCTGATAAGGCAATGCTATAACAATTGAGTATATTTTTAAACAAACTATGGCTTGAAATAATGACATTGTGATTTAAATAGGCAAAGGTGAAAAATGTAAAATGAGTCTGCCTCTGCAATGAATATGTATACTATTTATTTTAGGGACTTCAGTCTGGGGGGATATTCTTGAGTTTCTGTGTTTGGTCTTCTTTTAAGTCTTTGGGGGAAATTTTGAGGCTGTAGTTTTATTAATATATCATTTTTATTTTGATTATATAAGTGAATAGAATTAAAAGGGCGGGTTTGGTACAGGCAAAAAGATGGGAAGGTTGTAATTTGCAGGTTATTGCTACCAGAGCCTGGAATGATCCTACCTGTTTGATTTGTGGTTTGCATTGGCTGCTAGTTACTATTTTTATGTCTTGGCATGCTAGATAAATGAATATTTAGGTATAATGGAACAACGTTTATATCCTGCTAGTGAGTAGAGACTTTTTTCGAGGAGTATGTCATATGTTTAGTGGAAGTAAGTATAAAAATAATTCTTGCATTAGGATATTTGAATTAAGCTGATGGTTTGGCTACCAAAATGTATGATCAAGGTTGGTTTTTTTTTGGTCATGAAGTTGCTCTTAGCAGTTTGGCTTCGTATGTCGTGCATTGCTGTAGTGGTAACTACCTTGTGTAATTCTACAGGCATTAAGGATAGTCAGGATGTCATTAATGCCAATGCCATTAACTTCTAAATTCACTGCAGTGGAATCGCTGGGATGAGGAAGGACAGCTCACGTCTAATGGTCTTTCTGGGATCAGTCTTATGTGATGTATGTCTTTCTAAGAGGTATAGAATGACTCAATCATAGCTTTAAAATGAAAACTACCATCCTTATTTGATACTAGAGTGGCATTTGAAGTGCAGCACTATAAGTCTATGACTAAAAGCATTGCTGCTTAATGACACATTTTTAAAAACTGCAAAGTAAACAATAGTGATAGCTGACTCAGAGACAATCTCTGTTTCCTTTTGAAGCTTACCTTAAAAACTGTAATAAATAATGGAAAACAGGCAAAGTGTCTTACAGCCACTGGCAGACCGTCAGCTCATAGTATGGTAAATGTTGACACCATAATTTGATATATAAAGCAGCTATTTGCAAATCAATTTACAGGTGAACAAACTGACAGGTACCGTGGGGGAAACGCACGGTTAGTGTGTCTGTCTGACAACCTTTTCCCCTTCTCTCTCCTTTAACTCTCCCACAGTTGCCTAGTGTTTTAGCTCTAACACACTATATCCACATGTGCTGATTCCTTTCTTTGAAAAAAAATAAGAAAACCACATCTCTCACGTAACAAAGTGTTTACTGCTTGAACTAAATACAAATAGCATTCTGCAGCAAGCCCAGGAGGAAAGGAGGGTGCGAGTCAAATATCAAGAAATGTTCCTGAGTCTGTAAAGTCAGGTCAGTTATCCGTGGTGCCTCAGTCCTTCATCTAGCTTGTTTTATTCTTTGTTTTCTGAGAATTTCAATGTTTCTTCTGCTGAGAGTTGCATTTCTACTGTACACTGGTGCAGAGTTCTCCACTGGAAACACACAGAGAGATAATTTTCTGGAAACATTGACCATCAGTGCTCACTTGTGTAGAGGAAAGAACATTCCTTACAGCTCTTCAGTTTATACTCAGCCTTCTGGCCATTAAAAAAGTTTAAAAATCAATAAATAACTTTTTTTTTTTTCTTGATGGTAAATGGAACAGGCATGTAATTTTAATTCCTGTCATGAGAACATCTTTCTCACTGACCCTAAGTGCTAGTGAGAGTCTTTGCTTTTCCTCGACGTTGCACAATATATATAGAAATAGTGTTAATGATTGTATTGGAAAGAAAAAAAAACCCTTTTATAATTTATTTTTCAATTTATTTTTCATTAAGTCTTTGAGTTCTTTAATTAAATAGCTTTGCATTTCAAAGGCGATTTTTTTTTCTTCTTTCAAAAATATTCTTTGTTTAAGATGTTGCTTTTTG